TGTGCTAAGCAACTTTTCTTTTTTTTATTTAATTCTATTTTGTTTCAATTTAATCGGTATTAATTTCTGTGGACGGTCTACAGGACGACATATCGCGTACAAGTACCAAGATTGAAAACAATTATTTTGTGAAGTCATGTTTTAATCATCTCTCAATATCATTTTTTTAAAATAAAATTACCAACACCACGATTAGGATTTGTTAGCCCGCGTGTACACAAGGCGGAAACATGAAAGTGTTTGAAGCGTGAGCTGACAATATTATCATCAAAATATGCAAATTCAGATTTTCAAGAAGCACAGAAAGTTGGCCTGTCAAATAAATCAGAGGCTATTGTTTTCTTAATGATTGTAAATTTTTCATCTCGAATCGGGTAGATTTAAGGGGCGTCAACTTAAAATTGGGTGTTTAAGTAAGCATTCTTCTTCATTTAAACTTTTTTCCATATTTTCAACTTCCTTTCCGAATAGCAGGGCCATTTTTAACCATAAAACACCTTTAAGAATAATGAATGGAGTTCAAGTCTATTTGAAAAAGTCACGCCCTCTTTCAGGGAAAGACAGTGAAGAACAAATAGAAATTCTGTTGTATCTTTGAAAATTTCCCTCCTACGTTCACCGTCATGGTAAATCAGTCGTTAGAGTTTTCGCCCGCAGTTCAGTAAGTTGTGAGTACAAATATCGGCCGCGGCTGTCTAAAGTTTAAAAAAAAAATGAAGCCTTAGATTATGACATCCCGGGGTTGGGTTGGTTTATAATGGCCAATCAAAGTTATACAGAAGAGTTTAAAGGAAGCAAATCTATTTAAAAATCTTCAGCAAGTTCATTTTTAGTCATATTGATATGAAATCGTCTTCATAAAGTGTAAAAGCTAATTTGCTCAAAACAACCTGATCTCCTGGGCTGGGGTGGGATCAGAGAGATTGAAAGAAGTTTAAAATATGAAAATAAATGTTTTGTTGTTGAATTTATATATAAATGAGAGATGTTGATGTTCACAAAGCAAACTTTTAAACAATTTACATGTATTGCAAGACAATATTGGTTTTTCATTACACAACACAGAATCTTCCAGTAAAAAAAAACAGATGGACGCAAACAAGTGTTTTTTTCTCTTAAAAGGAAAAATATAATATTCTCTTTAGGAATTCATTTTCAAATTGATTAATGTTTAATGGAATTACATGCGAAAAATATAATTCTGAAGAGAGAGAAAAAAAGAGAAGAAAAAATAATAGCATTTATGTAAAGATAGATTTTCAGAAAAAAAACAACAATTTCATGCTAATTAAGATATAAACGGGGTAGATAAAAGAATTATTCAATGATATACAAGATATTATGGGAAAAACAAAAAAAAATATATTTACACAAGACAATCTATGATTGTTCTGAAGAGATTATGCTTGTGAGCTATAAATCAAATATCCCTAAATTTGAAGATACATTTCATTGCTATGAAATGGAAATAAATAAATTGTTGTATAGAATTCATATCCCTATAATGAACAATATGAATAATATATCTCCATTTTAATGTAAACTGTCATAGTGAGAAGGTTTACTCATTTGACCCAGTTTCTGGTAGTCTTTGTTGTCTTCAGATTTATTATTTATCTCTTTCCTTGGTCCAAATCCCTGATATCCACCATTATCATATCCATCTGTCTTGGGTCCCAGTTCTTGGTACTGTCGGTTCTCGCTAATTCTGTCATAGATACCATCAATGGGTGTCGTGTTTTCTAAGGACAACTCTTCCCCTCGCTTCTCTGAATGATTTTGTTCTTGGTCTGTGCCACTTGTACTTTTCCTAAATTTACGAAAAAATAATAAAATCATATACTTTACATATAAGAAATGGATTTGAATTTTTTAAATAAAGTATTTTTTTCAAAACAAATAATCATTTATAAAATTCCGAAAAGAGTTTAAAAATAAATTTCTTAAAGTGGAAGCAAAGCCAGGGTGTGTATCGGATGTGTATTGGTGTGAAGTTGTGTCCGATATAAAATATCAGTACATGCAGTACAATTACCTTCTGAAAACAAAACATAATGTGACAACCACCACAAGGCTCACTAACGTGACCACTGCAGCTCCTCCTTTGATAAGGAAAGTCTTAAAATCTGGCAGATCTGGATCAGACACCTGGAAGTACATGTAGTACATAATTTGGAACAGAACGGATACATATTAGTGATTTAAAGTCCATCTTAAAATCATGATAAATGGAATTCAAAATAAATATTGATAATCATAAACTATTATTATCATTTGGGAATCCTATGGTATCAAATCTTCAATTAGGGACATTTCAAATGTCCTGGGAACTGTTTAATTAAAAAAAATAACCGTATCACGGAAATCATAGAGTTTTATATCATTGGGAAAATCAGAAAAATATTCACATATTGTGATGTCACTTTGTTATCTTTATGACGTAATAACTCTAAAACTAACGTCATAGTTCTTTGTGTGATTCTAAGTCAGGAAGAAAGTGGAAAAAGGTTAAAGGATCATCGTGCATTTAACAGATCTACGATACATTTGAAGTTAGACTTTTTACTTGAATTGTTACTTCTAATCTCAATTATATTTTAGCAGAAGTTATAATGGAAAAACAAGTACATGTAATCCTATTTTACTTATGATTAGAATAACATCTGTCAAGCAAATAAATGTGCTAAAATAATTACACTGACTTTTTGAACTGAAAAAGTATCATCTCTTGGGAATGAAAAAGCTAAATAAAGACAATGAGATATTTCTTGCATTAAGCATTGAAACATCTGATTTAATTCTGATTTGGTAAAGAAATCCTGTAGTCAAAAAATGAAAGATAAAGTCGGTGTTAATAATGTTAATTTTTAGAGTTATCTTGACTTTTTACTAAACTTCTTTTCTTAACAACTGCCGAAAAATGGCTGGAATATATCTGCCTCGGCGTTAATCAATATCAATCAATCAACTTTTCTTAGCAAAATATTTTGAGCTAAGGACAGATGAAACAAACAAATTTTATCTTTGGAGAAGACTTAATATCATGTCACAAGTTTAGAAAAGTGGATAATTCTTTTTTTTCTCCTAAGAATTGGAAAATGAAGTAGACTTTGAAAATATAAGTAATATTTCAGTAAAATTATAAAAGTTGATAAAACACACTCAGGAAAGGTTTACAGATTAGAATAAATTTCAGAATATGTTAACTTGGTGCTGAAAGAGTAATATAAACTTTTAAAAAAAACAGCCGAGCCAGGTGCATTTTATGAGGAAAAGCAAAATGGTATAAATCAGCCAATATAATATAGGATTATTTATACCATTTTGCTTTTCCTAATAAAATTCACCTGGATTGGTATATAATTCAAAAGTTTATACTACATTTTTTGCATCAAGCTAACATATTCTGAAATTTGTTATCACATGTAAACCTTCACTGAGTTTGATTTGTCAATATGTTTTCTTTTATTCAAATATTAGTAATATTTTACAAGTCTACTACATTTTCCAGGTCTTGGGAGAAGGATTTATCCACTTCTCTAAACTTATTTTAAAAAGATTGAATGGGAACTTTATTTCATATACCTAGAATATCATAAGGGAAAATATTCTATAAGTAAAAATGTTTATGGGGGTAAATTGCCATGATATAATATTTAACAAATGTTATAGATAATGATTTAAAGAACTTTCATCTACATTCCCTACCACAAAAAATTGGCTCTAACAATTCTAGATACCAGTTCTTTTCTGTTTTTTTCTCTAAAGTTTTTTTCCCACAAGAATTATCAACCTTCAATATGCGTCAAAAGTCCAAATTTTGAAATATTTGGACAATCATATATGTATAAAAAAAAATAAAGAGTATATTTAAGAATGAATTAGGAATAATTGTAATGATTAAATTATTTAAAAATCAGCTTAAATGCAAGTTTTGTCAATAGCCAGTTTTACTTACCATTGGACACACTCCAGTTACCGTTTTACAACTCCTATTTAAACAATTGGCACTACATGTTTCATTACAATGGTAACCATGGAAACCCCAGACGCATTCTAAATTGGTGAAGGAAATATAATCGTGTTTATATTTACCTTTATTTTTGAAAAAAAAATGACTGTAATATTTTTCTGATATCTGTTAATAATTATTAAAAACAAAATACTTAAAATGAAAAGAAAGAAATATAAAGAAACAGATATTAAAAAAAATTTACAGTCATTTGATTCCTGAAATAGTTATATTACGCATAAAAGGACATGATTTTTAAGATAAAATATACATTAATATACACTTTCTAGTATGGATAAACCAGGTTTAACACAATTTCATTAAAAATTAAATATTTCTTTTTACTCAATTTCATTAAAAATTAAATATTTCTTTTTACTTACAGAACGCTGATGTTTTAAAATTAATTAATGCTCTTACTTTAATTTCACTAATATAGATTATTCGCAATTTTACATAAATATATAATTGCCCATTTTTTCAACAATGATTGTCTGCTGATTAATAATGCAGGGTATATATCATTTTAACTTTTCAAGAATTGATTCGGTCACCTTGTGTTCAGTTGATCCCTTGATATCCTCTTTCGCAGCCATTCAAGCATGTCCCGTTTATGTGATGACATTGTTCGTTAAGACAGACCCCGCATGACTGAGCACAGTTTAGTCCAAATCTGCCTCCATCACATTCTATAGAAAAAAAGTATCTCAAATACAAAACACAGAAAATCCAACCTACTTTTTAATTCAACCTACTTGTTCATTGATTTATGTTCTGTTCATTTTGACCAACACTCACTTTTTAAAAATAAGTAATACCTGTTTTGCTAGTATCTGCTATATATTCCCTTTATATTTACGACTTTGAAAACCATTTACATGTACGTGTTTTTCATGCATTTAATTGCTTTTATTATGGTGAAACTTCATTTTTGATATTATCATAATAAGCCATATTGATGAAGACAAGGAATATAAATTGTATTTACTCTTATCACATTTGAAATCTTTCCATCCTGCCTTACATCCGCCTTGACACTGTCCTGTCACTCTGTCACATCTACCTGGGACTCCACAGTTAGTGCTACAAACATCGTCACATTTATGGCCATAAAATCCCTCAATACATCCTGTTTCGGAATAACGCAATACTTTTACAAGGAATCAATAATAAAAAATAATAGATTTGGTGCAAAGATGCTAAACACATATAAACGTATAGTATATTCTAAATTATTATAACATATTATTTTCAAAATACATCTAAATAGACATTATTACCCTCAGTACACCTCTCTCCGTGGAATCCTCTGTCACATCCGTTCAAGCACGTCCCATTTATGTGGTGACATTGTTCTAAATTTAAACATGGACCACAAAACATATCGCAGTTTTCTCCGTAAGTCCGCTCATCACATTCTGCAAAATGAATAGGATTAAAAGGAAATTGAAAGTTTCACAGGAGAAATTAAAATGATCAATCAATTCTATTTTTCTCTCCCTCTAAAATGATATATATTTACGTACTCTCCTCACACCGTGGACCTTTGAAACCTTTGGTACACCCTAAACATGTTCCACTTTCAATGTTACAATGACCCTCTCTACAGTTCTTTGGACACGATATATTACAGTTGTTTCCATAAAACATTGAGTTAGGGCATCCTAAGAAAACAATCAAATAATGATTATAATAACTCTGTGAATACGTCTGCATACATTTTCAGCATCCCTCAAAATATAAAGTAATGCCCTGTTCACACAGAGTATTAAATTCTAGTAAAAGGTAAGTTACATTGAATCAAATTTGAATCGCATTCACACGGAGAATTTAAAACGTATTAGTTTAATTTAATGCGCATTAAATTACTTTCTTGTGAACGCCAAGCGAAGGTAATTCGAATTGGACTTTAGTTAAGAACTAAATTAAGTCAGAGGGGTTAGGCCAGAATTAAGTCACATTTTGGTGGATAGATATAGGTATATGTCTTATATTTGGTTTAGAAATAACGAGAAAAGTATATCTGTAGCCTCTATGATCAATATATCAAATGGATGGCTCTGCACGAGATTTACAAATGACGTCATAATAGCCTCACTGAATAGCCTTCTTTTAGAAATAAGATTTTAATTTACAATAGTTTTACATCGAGTTAGCTGTGGTGTAAACGCGATTTAAATTCACATTATTTTTAATTTGCATTATTTTACATGTACTTTGCATTAAATTGCTGTGAACTAAATCCTCCACATAAACAGGGCATAAAAAATATAGATTACTTTTCTGCAGATTAAAAACACTCAAAATAACCAAGGCGTTTCTATGTACAACTGCAAATTAGAGCAATAAAGGTCTCCACCTGAAGGAAAATTAAGAAAATCTCTTTTTGTCTCTGTAAATGTATTATTGTGGCATTTCATTCTTATAAAAAAATCATTTTACTATATGGCAATTATTAAAATATTTTTGTTTGATTCAATGACCCACATATTTCAAGATGAGTTGGTAGGCAGGTTAACATTTTTATTTTGCTTTACAGTATTGGACACAAAGACATAAAAGATGTCATAAAACTCAGACTCAGAAATTAATTTATGAAACTATTAAAAAAGTTATGAAAGTTATACAGATTGATTTCTTATTGCATGTAACGCCTATCAAAAACATTAAAGAGAAAGAATACATGTAATATGGAAACTGAAAAAAACGAAAAATTTAAAGCATGGAAAATGATTGGATAGGGGCGATTTTCATGGTCAGTCGGAGTACATCAAACGAATCATTTTATTGTTGGCCTAAAACAAAAGTACTATTGGGTGTGGCACGTGAATATTCCAATGCTTGGGCAAATTTTCCTTGTAATACTCTTACCGTAAACCTCAAGTTCGCAGAGCTCGTTGTAGGCGTATTTAGAATACCCATCAGGGTAGACAACTCTTGGGAGTCTCTCATTGTAGTAGATGACATACCGACCATGTGTTACACATTCTATGGTTACATTATC